TTTTTTTTTTTTTTTTTTTTTTTTTTTTTTTTTTTGGTTTAGGGGCTGAAAAGAATTTTGTTTGGCCAGAAAATATTGGGACCTCTCAGGTGGAGTGAGGGCTGACATCATGGTTCCAAGATTATCTAGATCCCCAGAAAGAAAGTGGGAAAAACAATAATGTTTGGATCAGAGGTTTAAAGAGCAATAACTGAGCTCTGGATCTTGAGTTTTTCAGAACAGTCCAGCTGATTTGTAGCTGTTGGATCCTGATCCCTCTGCAGTAATAAACTCTGAGTTACTGCCTCATTTTTCACTGACCGACGGGAATAAAAGCCTGATGGGAGCTGGAGCAGTTCTGACCCTGTTCTGGCTGTTCGGATCCGATCCGATTGTTGGGAAATCTGATGTTCTCATAATGAGCTCAGAGGAGGAGGAGCGCAGACCGGAATCAACTTCTACTTCCTACTTTATGAAAAACACCATCACTGCGTTTGTCACGCACCTTTCTGCGCCTTTTACGCACTTTTCTAAGCCAGATTCTGGGGAGTCCGACTTGGTTCCGATTTGCTGTCATTTCTTTTCGGATCCCATGGATAATTAAAACTGATCGTCTGGCTTCAGTCAGTCTAATTCTTATTCGGGGTCGTTAATCACCGGGACACTTTGGAGGAGTTCCCGGACCACCCAGACAGAACCGGACCCGGTCCACCGCTTCATGCTTACTGCGGCTGTGGAGCCCTGATAGGCGGTTAATCAGCAGAGCGCCGGTGTTTGGGCATAACACCGGACTCCTGCTCCTGGGAGGAAGGCAGGAGGAGTCCCGACGGTCCGATCCGGTCCTGGTTCTGGTTCAAACAATTATCCGGGTCCTGATTAGCGCCGAAAGGTTCATCTTGACCAGACCGAACCCATCTACCTGCAGCTAATGTAAGTCTCCTCTTTTTGAGCTGTTTTATCTTAATAAACCGTTTTTTTTAAATGGAACCTGGCACTGATTACTGTGACTCTAAACACCGTGATAGTTTTTAACCATTAACTGTTTTTTTTTTTTCGTTTTTTTTTTTTTTTTTTTTTGTACTTATTTGATATGAATCCAATAAGAGTTATTGATCTGTTATAGATTTATTACAGAGTTCTGTACCGGTTGTCACATCAGATCTGAAGCCGCAGAGCGGATCTCCTTTTAAAAAAACAAGAATTTAACATTTATGCAGATTTTTGTCCGGTAATTCAGGATGTAAAGTAGAAATGCGCTTTCTATTTAAAGTTTCCAGCTGTTTCTAACCTTTCGGCATCCATATAGTACTCAGTTTCACGTTCTTCCGATTTTAGACATTTTAATAGAAGTTTTAGAGAAAGCATATTATGAAAGTTTAGATTTAATCATAAAATTTGGATAATTTCTTTGAAAACGATCAGGCTGAATAATTTTGTTTGAACGTGTAATAAAATTTTATTTTAGTGGGTTTTTTTTTTTTTTTTTAGAAAGCAGCTTTGGGAGTAAATGGAAGCTGTATTTTAACAGTGACAGCAGGTTTTTTCTATCTGTTTGTGCTTCTCATCGATCCACCCTCATAATCAGATTCCAGAGTCAGTTTGGGGACTGCAGAGATCAGCAGAACAGCTGCAGCCTCCTCATCCTCATCAGATCTCTGAATTAATGGCAGCAGGAAACGCCTGGTGAAGCAGCAGCTGCTGCAGACTCCCTACAAGTTAAACCTGCTGGTTTATAAACAGAAAACTCTTGAAATGATGGGATGATTGTGGTCCAAGCTGAAGGAGGTTTCACTGAGGATGAGTAATAAACTTCCTGGTCTCCCATAAACACACACACACACCAGAAGGTGTTCCACTGTTGGTTTTATTGAGCTCCTTTTGGCATGAAGTGTGCCATGATGGATGGTGTTGTTGGACAGCTCTGGTTCTGTATGTCCCTCCAGGGATCCACTTACTCTGCCTGATCATCCTCCGTGACACATTATCCCTCTGTCTGGATGCTCCGGTCTCACTCAATCTCTTTCCTCACTGTTTTCTGCTCAAACGTCCTAACTGAAGGTGAAAAATTCAGCAAGCTGAGCGCTGAATCCATACTGGGTTCTGGAAGAACATATGGCTGAAAAAATGGGTTTAATTCTGCAGTAATAGGAGTCAGATTTCAGTGATGGGAGTTAGAGGCCTCTCTGTGAGGGGAAGCGGTGGCTCCATTGTTGTCGCAAGAAAACAACACTTTTTTTACTGGAAATAAAAAGAAAACAACTTATTTTAAAACAAAGGTTTTGAGAGTAACTTCGCTCTATTCTCAGATGGTATTTTTCTTCCATCTTTTGTTATTTTATTTTTCAAATTTTGTTTTCGCATTTTGTTTTTAAAGATTTTATTTTTGAAACTTCTGTCTTTCAGATTGAGTTTTAAGAATTACCATTAAAAATGCATAACATTTGAAAAATGAATATATATAAAAAAAATTTGAGAAAAAGGAATAAACAAAGAAGCAACAAATTTAGGCTTTATTTAATGTTTTAATTCTGAGTTGCACTTTCTATCCATCCATCCATCCATCCATCAGTTTTCTGTCATGCTTCATCCCTGCTGGGGTGCTAGTGTCTATCTCCAGCTGTCTACGGGCGAGAGGCGGGGTTCACCCTGGACAGGTCGCCAGTCCATCGCAGGGCAACACAGAGACAAACGGGACAAACAACCATTCACACGCACACTCACAACTAAGGAGAATTTAGAGAAGCCACTTAACCTAACAGTCATGTTTTTGGACTGTGGGAGGAAGCCGGAGTACCCGGAGAGAACCCACGCATGCTCAGGGAGAACATGCAAACTCCATTCGGGAATCGAACACGGAAACTTCTTGCTGCATGGTAGCAAGGCAGTGCTACCCACTGAGCAGCTATGAGAGTTGCATTTTCTTTTTAAAATTTTCATTTCCAAAAATGATGTGCAACAATAATGCCTCTCTAATGGAAGATACAGGGTTTCCCGGGTCATTAAAAATAATTAAAAGTAATTAAATTATTATTTTTTTAAATGAAAGCCTTAATTGGCATTAAAATACATTAAATTTTATAATCGTGGCATTAAAATACTTTGGAAAAGAAGCGTGAGGAGGAGAAAAGGCTAGAGAATGGGGGAAAAATGCTAATTTGAACCAAAGTGGCGGGAAAACGAGGAACTCGGGACATGGCTGCAGCCTGTCCACGGTGAAGATAACGAAGGATTTATATATATATATATAAGTCATGGGTACTTGTTGATGGCATTAAGATTATTTCTAAGAGCATTAAAAAGCATTAAATAAGAGTTACTCATTCATGTATAAACCCTGATATAGAATATGGGGGGGAATAAAGTTACAGAACTGTAACTAAATATTTGCTGGATTAAAATCTTGCAAAGCCGAGTGGATCTGAATTCTATGACCCTGTACCAGTTCACATCTGTTTCTAACAAAAAAAAACAGCCATCTTATCTCACTGAGCTGTTTGGGTTCATCTGGTTTTTTATTCAACCAGCTCCAGGATGAGGTGGAACCAAGACCCAAAAGAACCTCAACAGCTGGTTAACAAACCCTGAGAAAAGATCTTTCAAGCCACTAAAAGCTTCACAAACCCTGTAAGGTTCTGCAGGAACTTTGAGCAGAATCATAAAGCTTCATACCATCAGAATAAAAAATAAAAAACAAATCATTAAGAACAAGTCAAGCTGTAAACAGGATCTGGTTCCAGTTTGAACCAAACATCCAGATTTATTCCAGTACTTAATGAGGTTCTCTTCATCTCTCCACAGGGCGTCCTTCGTCCTCCTCTTCCTCCTGGCTGTGACGGGCGGCGCTGTGTGTCAATCCAGCGATTCGACAGGTAGGTGACAGGTGGGCGGGCCCGTGGGTTCTCATTAGAAGGTGAAGTCAGTGATCTGAGTCACAGAACTTTTACCTTCTCATCTAATTTCTCCCTAAACTGTTTCTGGGTCCAAATAATCCTCAAAAGTTGGACGTGTTCCTGGTTGCTCTGAGCTTAATGAGGAGCAGAGCGTCTCCTGGAGGCAGGAGGCTCATTTATAACGCGGTGGGAGATGGATGGAGCTGCAGGAAGATGACGGGAAGAAAAGCTGCATGGATTCTGGGAGAACGACCCGCTCACAGCAGGACGGGCCATGGAAGAGCTGGGCTCCACCCGACCCGACCTCAGCCGTTTGGAGCTCTCGGTTAATGGGAAGAACTCTAAAAGCTCCACTCCCTGGAAGGTTGGCAGCTGTCTGAGATGTTTTCTCAGAACCAGGGTTTCTGATAAAGATATCTGGGCGGAAGCAAAGTGACAAAGCTTCTCAGAATCACCTGCTGATGGGTTAAATCCAGCAGCAGCAGTGAGGATGGACCCAATCAATACCCTGACTGCATATCGATTTTAATAACTTTAATGCACTGGTTGTTTGCTTTAACAGCAATGCCAGCACCAGATGGAAACTCATTAATCTTATCGACTTGTGTTGGAATCAGGGAAAGAAATATTGATCCAACTGGAAAAGTTTAAGGCCTCCAGCTGGTTCTATGGCTTCAGAAACCCAAAGATCCAGCTTAGAGCTGGTTCCACCAGTTTGGATCTGGACCGGTTCAGCGGCTGTGTTGGACTCCCATGATGCATCTCTGCTGCTTTGGTTCTGACACCTGCAGACCACATGCAGCTCATGAATAACCAATTTTTTAAATTGTTTTAAAACACTTTAAGCATTTCTTTTCTAGTTTTTTCAATTTTTACTGCATTTATGATGGAAAGGTGGATTTATTTCCTTCCTGTGCTGAACGTTGTTTCCTCCTGGTTCCAGATAAAATAAGTTGGATGATTAATACGGGCATTGGTAATGTCTGCAGCAGGAGGAAGGATGACATGTTGGAGACGGACGGATGTATGGGTGGAGGGATTGCTGTTTGGATGGGTGGATGGTGCTGCATGCAGGGGGGGTGGGCTTTTAATAGAAAGACTAATACTCCAGCAGGGAAAACCTGACAGGTCAATTACCAACACAGGCGCAGCCGATCCACTCTGGTCAGGAGCTGCAGAGAGGATCCATTAATCTGGAGCTCAGCGTTCAGGATCCACAGGACCAGCTGGGCTGAACCCGTCCTGGACTGTGGAGCTTTAATCCTGAGCAGGAGGCCCCTCTGCAGCTCCACCTCATCAGTTATTTGGTTTTATTTGGTTTTTGTTTGTGATTTGCATCTAAAAGGGCTGCAGCCACCTATGGAGTTAATCTATGGCAGGGGTCCGCAACCCAGATTGCTCAAAGAGCCATATTGGACCAAAAAAAAACAAAGACAAACCTCTCTGGAGTCGCAAATATGTAAAAGCCTAGTGTATATATAAGCCTAGTATGGCAACACAGGCTCTAATTGTATTATCCCACTATAAAAAAGGACTATATAGGCTTAAATATATAATAAGAATTCATGATTACATGTTTATCTGGAGCAAATGTCACATAGAAGCATGAGGTGAGGGAGGAGCAGTGAACGCTCTCACAGCGCCCTTCAACGCGCTGTTTTGGTACATTGATGAAATTATAGAAACACAATAAAGGAATCTTTCTATGGTGGACGTGACATCCATCAGAGCAGTGCTCTCTAACCTTGAAATCCCACATCCTCCGTCACCAGTGTTCCTTGGTGATATTTTTATTACGGGGATTTGGGGGTGGATTACATACCTGCAGAAGAGCGCTACCTTTTCAATCTGTGGACGTTTTTTTTCCTGCTTGAAACCAAACTAGAAGCACTAGTGGAGTTTGGAGATGCAATCTATTTCTTAAATCTATCTTTGCGCTCCTCTAATTTATCCGGAAGTTCTGCAATCACACTTTTTCTCTCACTCCCAACTTTATGATCAGCTCCATATTTAGCCTTCCCTGGAAATGCATATCCAAATTTATCTTTTTATTATTTGACAAATTCTCGTGCCAAAGCAAAAATGCAGGCAATCCTTCCGCATTGATAATGAAAGCAAATGATTCGGTCCTTTCTTCTTTGAATCCTCAGTTCTCATCAGGTATCTTCCTGTTTTTCCCTTTGGGATCCATGGTCCGAGCCCCCCACCCCACCCCCGCTGCCTTTGCCTGGCACCGCGCTGCGCTGAGAGATGTGTTGCAGGCTTTGGCCACTGATCTCTATGGCTATGACGCACATTTTCATTGAAATAAATGTTTACTTATATTGTTTACATTTATTTATTATACAAATGTTTACAGCATTGGAAAACATAATGAATTGCTGTTTAACCTTTAACCATTTTAAAATAAACAAACCAAAAATTTTCCATAAATTTTTGAAAAAACTCTAGGGAGCCGCAAGGGGGGCGCTAAAGAGCCACATGCGGCTCCGGAGCCGCGGGTGTCCGACCCCTGATCTATGGAGTTAATCTATGGAGTGAATCTATTCCATTATTTTTTCAAAGAACATGTTTTGTAAAAGAAAATGGAAAGAAGTGCATTCTAGATATGAAATTCGGAAACATGTTTTAACAAAACAAGGTTTTGGGACTAAATTAGCTGTTTTCTTAGATTTTGTTTCAAATCTTATTAGATTTATTTTTTTTAGTCTGTTTTTGCCTTTTTTTTCAAATGGTATTTTTTTATTTTGTTTTTAAATTTTTTTTTTTTTCGGAATGGTATTTTTTTATTTTGTTTTTAAATTTTTTTTTTTTTCGGATTGCATCCTATGAATTACATTCTTTTCAAATTGTGTTTCACAGATCAGATTCTCTTTCTTCAAGCCAAATAGAAACACATCCAGATGTGCAGATTGACCAATAAAAATGTTTCTACTAACATCTATGCAGACATGCTAACTCCCGATTTGGGGAAAAAAAAAAGGCGGTTTGTAAAGCTTAATTTAACTTGATAATTAAATTGAAAAACTAATACAGTTTGAAACAAATTTACACTTTTCAATGTTTAATTTCTGCATTGTATTTTTTTCTAACTTTCAACAATTTTTAAATGTCTTCTTTGCAACAGTAATGGAACAAAATCCACTTCATACCAATCATCCGTTCACAGGAAGATCCTCTCTAATCATCTCAGTTTCATCTGTACAACAGCAGAAATAGCTGCAGATTGCTATATTGTTCTTATCTTTTTTTAGAGCTTGTTTCCTGAAGATGTGCTCAGATTCCTAAGACCTACAAGAGGAAATCTTTCTCAAAACAAATGTTTGGAGGAGTTAATTTTCTTGAATTGGTCTTTTATTGGTTTGGAGTCAAACTGGGTCTTACTGGTTAAATGTCAGTGAAGGAAAACTACTTTCTCATCTCTAATACCTTAGAGGATGTGTTGAAAGATCCCCAAACTCCCTGAGGATGTTTCAGGACATGTGGAAGATGTTTTTTGAGGTCTTTGGAAATTTCTCATAGAAACAGAATTGCTTACACCGTCTGAAACGCAAACTGAGTCAGTCGATGTTTTGGTTCTTCATGAGCGGCTATTGAAGCGTATTAGTTGGTTTCTGTTATTCAGATTCTGCTTTTGGGTTCCTTAGAGCAATGGAGATATAAACTTTCTGTGATCTCTGTGTTAAAATGTTCATGCAGCCTCTCCCCTGCCTGCTGTCATGCTGTGCGTTTTGGAGGCGGCGTGGCGTCGGGACGTTTAAAGGTTTCCTATCTGTATCATCATTCCCATCCTCGCTTCCTGTATCGAACAGTTGACTCCCTCTCCGGTCTAATTAACCTTTCCCTGATGAATGAGGATCATCTGTGTTTCCCTCCAGATCATTTTGACTGATTGGCTTCATCTTTGAGTCGGGGAGGAAACCATCAGTCAGAAAATCAATTGGAAGGGAATTAGTCGGCGCTAATTTAGGTGATTGATCGCTGGTTCAAATTCCCAAAGCGACTTTTTGCAGGATCACTTTCTAATGCCCCATTAGTGAGGAATGTTCCATCCTATTATGGGATGTAATTTGTGCAGACTATAAATAATCCAGTACTGATTGAGTCCAGCCTTGTATCTGTGTTCTTTAATCTAGAAAGAAATGATAAAGGAATGCATAGTTTGGGTATATTTTACTGCACTATGCAGCAATATGCTGATGACGCCTTTGTGTTTAAGAGAGAAACTGATTATTTTTTATTAAGGTAAAAAAGGTTGAATATTTGCCTGGTTTAGGAGATGAATGCTGGTAGAGACCTTTGAACAGACTCAGGATCTCGATGTAAGGTAGAGGAACACGCTTTATTGCTGTTCTTTGAGATGATTGTTCAAACCTCGGATTCATTCTGCTCCTTCAGTCCAGTTTAAATGGAAGATATTTAAGTTCCATTAGGGCATCCTAGCTTTGATTGAGAAAATATGCTAAAATCCAGAGTACTGGGTCTTTCTACCGTCCATTTACCTGCGCCATCCAGGTCAGCCATGTCTCTTGGCCAGAGGACACATTAAAGCGAGGCGCCATCTTTAATGCCGGATATCCTTGAATTGTCTTACAGCTGGTGCGTCATCAGGAAGGGGTTTAGTGAGAAGGCTCTGGCTCTTGGAAGCAGATCAAACTTCACCATCTTGTTTTGAATGTTAGCAGAAGCTGAGGAGCCAGGTGGTTGTTCTGACTCATTGTTGTAGCAGCTTATGGTTCATGTTTAATCCGCTACAATAAAGGGAGGTGTTCTGTGTGCTTCTCTGATAACAAGCTGGAGCTTGTAAACCCTTTTAGATGGAGCTCAGCAGGCACTGAATCATTTTCTAGAGTATAAATGTTTCAGTTCCAAACTTCTAGTTTCAGACTTCATTCTAATTGCCAACACTATGTGCAGTGAAGCTCTGGGAGAGGCAGGCAGCAGGGTTTCCCAGAAAATCCCAGATAAAGCAGAGTGTTGGGATGTTTGCAGTATGAAGGTCAGGGTGAGGAACCCTGGACTCTCTCTCTTTGCTCTCAGATGTTTATTTGTTTTTTGATGGATTTGAACAGATTAAATGAAGCGGTTCAGGAAATTTGCAAATCTGATCCAAACTAAGGAACCTGGAGTCGATCCGGAGACTGAAAAGCAGCTTTGGTTCCCTCACACAGGAGGAGTCCCGCTCCTCTGGCAGATGTTCAGAAAATCATCAGGAGTAACTTGTGATTTATTTCTGTGGTTTATCTCTGACGTCACCTTTTATCCGAATCGCTCCTTCAGTTATTGGACTTTAACACAGAAACTTTCAGTATTTTCCTTCCTTACTGATCACAGACCTCCTTCAGTCTCAATCAATTCCAAGATTAAAAAAAATGCTAAAAAAAAAATGTCATCAAATATTGGTTTTATTACTGATAAAGAATATGACCTGAGGCCTTGTCCACTCAAAGACAAACGTGTTTTTATAAACAGCTTAGAAAAGTTGCGTCTAAACAAGTGTACATAGAAGTAGTTATACTTTACTCTACTTTTTGCTTAAGAAAAATTTTTGTCCAAGTATTGCTACTCCTAATAATGTAAAGATTTCTGGTTACTCTACCCACCAACATTAAGTTGAGCTACTATATGATCAGGTGAAAATACAGGAAATAATGTCACTGAAAGTTCTTAATCCTTTTCATGACATATTTATTGCCCTCTTTAAGGTTGTGTTAAGAAAAAAGTTTTGGAAAATAGCTTTTATGCCAAAATTTGCTTATTCATAATCATGTTATTTAGTTTGTATTTCCAGAAAACTCTTTCAACATCATTTTAGACATTAGGTCAGAAGTTAGGAGCCAACAATGACTCAGTAGTAGAGATGCAATCTGACAAAGTATTTGTTCTATTTGTCATTTCCAGTTTTTACTTTTACTTTTGTGAAGAAATTAAATAATAAAGTAGAGCTACTTTTATATGAGTAAAATTTTTTCCATTTTCTCCCCATCTTTGGTTTTGTCATACAAGTTATCAGGTCCAGTAGGACGACCCAGACAGAACAAAAGCTGTTATTTCAGCAGAGCTCCCTCAAAGGAATTTAAAGTGTTTGAACCCCAAAAAACACTTGCTTGGACGCAGACCTGAAGCCTGTTTCACCCTGATTCCCTCTTTCCAGAACCACTTTGTCGGCCCGTTCCACTGGGAGTGGATCCTGGCGCGGGCAGATGTCCATTCTGTCCTGAAACGCTCTGGGCTCCCTCAGGAGGAGCTGGGGGGAACGGCTGCATAGATGGATGATTGTAATTTCTTCCCTCAGCCTGAGCTTCGATAATCGGATCAAGATGGATGGATAAAAACATACGGAGCGACGTGTTGTTATCAATATCTAACCCTCTGCTGCAGACTTAAAAGCTTCTCTTTACATTAAATGGATTTCTGCAAACGAAGGGACGTCTTATTAGGAGAACTGTAACCATGACAACGGTTCAGAACCCACTTCAGGCAGGTTTTAGAGTTTGGACCTGCTGCATAAGCTGGGGGTTCAGTCCAAACAGCCGTAGACTGATGGAAACTCTTTGGGCTTATAAAGCTGAGTCTCCTACATGGGTGGTTCTGTTGACCCAAACACATCAAAGCTCCAGTTCAGTCATGTTTTTGTTCAATAAAGAAACTCAGCTCAGGTTTTATTCTACTAACTTTCAGTATCTAGAGGACTTCAATCTGAGTGGACAGCTAGTTGAAGGCATGGCGGGGAAAGTGTCATGCTGTGGGCCTGATTCCTTGTCAGGATAGAGATCAGGAAAAGTGGATGGACCATAACTTGGACTGGAAGAACTGGGTCCAATTGAAGTTTTCAGTCTCTGGTTGTTCTTCGATTTTATTTTTGCTGGAATCTTCATAGTAAACGGGACATAAAACATCTGCTAAATGTGTCCCACTGTCCTCCTGTCTGCCAGAACCCATGTGTTACGACTGGGGCGAGTCCAGTGAGGGGGCGGTGTCGGTTCTGGACGGCGAGGCCGGTTCCATCTCCTGTCCTCTCTTCTCTCATCCCTCCGTCTACAACTACACATCAGCCCAGAGCGCCGGACACAACCTGTTCTGGTACCGCCTGCTGGAAGGCCATGACCTGGAGCAGCCCATCCCCTACAGGTAACCATGGAAACCAAGTCCCTCTGTAATAGAAATGCTGCTTTAATTATTATTTTTTAGGCCAGTTTTCTGCATATTATTCACTGTCCTGCAACACAAACCCAATCAGTAGATAACTGGGTTTCACCTGCTGGGAACACGGGCCCTTTTCCTGCCCGGACCTTGGTTCTGCATGTGTAATTTAATGATGAAGAGCATCCTAACGATTTTCCTTCCAGAAACGATGTATTGGTGTTTGTGAGACGGGCGGTTAGGCCGGCGTCGCTCAGGACGTGGGAGTTTGTTCTGATGTCGCTCTAATTGGATCGTTTCTGATTTATTGTCTGTCTCTAATGTGATTGTTGCTCCGCAGCCCGCGCCTCAGCAGAGACAGGGAGAGACTGTGGCTGCAGCCGGCCGTGGCCAACGACACGGGGCAGTACATCTGCATGCTGCGGTAAGTCCACATCCTGCCTGTTTGGGTTTCTCTGGCAACAGACCGGTTCTGGTCTGCAAAACTTTCTCCTGGAGGTTTTAAAACAATTGAATGTTTCCTCTACAACCATCTGGGTTTTACTGGGATTTTATTTAACATTTCATCATAAACTGGTGCAGAACTGGGAAGGAAATGATTTAATGTTCTTAAGAATTTTGTTCCTCTGGACTCCGAGCTTTAAATCAGAACCTCAGCATCACAGAACCTTGGCTTCAATTAACCCGACTTCCACCACTGAGACACAGCTAAACATCCGGCATGAGAGATTATAAACCAGAAAGAAATCTGGACTCTAAATTGTTCTGGTTCTGATCTGTCATCACAGACAGAAAAGCTGACAGATTCAACTTTCGGAAAAGATTCTAGTAGAACTTGATTTTGGGTCGGTCCATAGACTGATCTCTGGTTTCATCTAGAGGATTCTGAGATCCGCTGCTTTGAACTGAGCAGCTGACCGAATGGATCAACCCATCCTGTGACAGCAGTGGGTGTTACCCACTCTAAGAAAAACAAAGCATAGAGTTCTACACGGTTTCTGGGTCATGGTCAGGTTTCGTCAGTGAGGGTACCACAGAACCATCAGGTTTGACTTCCTGTCCCTCCTTCCAGCTCAGACGGACCGCCTCCATCTGCTGCAGTGATTAAAACATTTTTTTTTAAAGACCTGTTTTGTTCTGACATACATTAGGTTAAATATGTTATTACAACAACCCACAGTTTGATTTTCTGAAATAAAAACAGGAGTAAAGTTAGAACAAAAAGTGAACAGGTTTTAAATGAATCTGCTTGATTTGAGGAATTTTGTTGTTCCTCCTTTTATTTTGAAATAGTTGAAATAGTCTTCACAAAAACACTGTAGAGATTTTCAAGCATAAAAATCTTTGATTATTTGCATCCCTGCACTGGAACTAGTTTTTCCTCTTATACATTAATGGACGTTTCTCATAGTGGAGGCGCCGTGACTGTAGGGACACAGTTTCATCTCAGCTACAGACAGTGAATGTTTCACAGAACTTAATGTCCAAAAACTGATTAATCAGTGATTAATTAATTCTGCCTGAATCAACTTTTAGGGACAAAATAATTCATCCATACAGCTGAGATATCACAGCCAGCACGAAGCACAATACTGCTAGCCACCTTGAAACTTGTTCATACATTAGATTCT